AAAACTAATTTAAAAGTTCTGCAGTAAAACCAAGCATTACAGGTGCATTCAATGGCATAACATGATGACCAAGTGCAGTCCGAGCGTGCTTTCCATTTTCCTGAAATACTTCGTTTATTAACTCTGACGCACCATTGAGCACTAATGGAATATCGTTGAAACCTTCCACACAGCCAACATGACCATCAATTTTAACCACACGAATTTTCGTCAAATCATTATTAGCAGCTAATTTTAATTGTGCGATACCATTAAGAGCGCAAAGTTGTGCAATTTGTTTTCCTTGGTTGGTCGTGTATTCTTTGCCAAGTTTACCTGCGTACTCAAGTTTGCCATTTTTGAAAGGTAATTGAAAACTCGTCATAATAATGTTTCCAATTTTTTGAAATGGCAAATAAGTGGCAACGACAGCAGCTGGTGGAGGTGGAACTTCGAAACCTAATTCCTTTAATTTTTGTTCAGGAGAGTAACTCATTATTTTAAGATTTAGTAATTGATTTTATTAACGCTATAGTTTTTAAGCCCATAAAGTGTATAAGATGTATGATCAAGTTAGCACGTATCATTCTCTCCATTTTTTCACAATATGTTGGTTTTTTTTCAGCCATTCTTCTGCAGCATATAATGGTGTTTTTTTATTAATACTGACTTCATAATCTAATTGAGCGACAACATCATTGCCTAAAAAGATTTTCTTTAGCCATACAAAAGATTTTTGCGGAAGTTTAGACATTGCATCTTGACGCATGACTAATGTTGCTTTGTCTTTACCTCGCAACAAACCATTTGGTTCTTTTAGTTCTCGAATTTTATACTTGCTATGAAGATATTGTGGATGCCAAAGCGGGACGACCACCCATTCCTTTTTTGCGTACGCTCTTTCAAAAGCGTTTACACAATCTTCCATAGAGCCATTTTCAAAGTGATACCCCCATTCTCCTAACTTATATTTTTCAACAATTTCTCGTGAAAATCTACTAATTCCCGCTCCTGCCCCAATACCCTGAATTAATTTATTCATTTTAGCCGCTACGTTTGGTTTTTTTAAATCACCTACACTCGCTACTTCGTTAGCAGGAATATAATCTGGTACGCCCCATATTGTATACGGATTGTAAATAACTGAAAATTTTTCAATGACCTGCCCAACTTTCGCAATAGAATCAAGATACTTACCATGACTACCAGGTAACCAAGCGGCACAAACAAAATCTACTTTCCCCGTCGCAAGATGTTCATACGCTAAGGCATGTGGAGCAGAGGAAGCCTTTACGTTTACCCCATCTTCAACTAATAATGCTTGAATAACAGCACCTGCTGCTTTGTGGAATGATAACGCAATAGATTCCAAATAAAGTGTATCGCGAGGATTTTGAGAAAACAATGGACGAATACTTACACTACATAAAACTACAGTACAGAAAACTATTGAACATTTTTTTTTCATTTGAGCACAGTTTTAATGGTGAAATTTTGCTAAACATTAGAAGCAATTTAGAGTGAAATAACTTATTTCTCCTTGATTCAAATCAGCATCGAGTCATTGTTATTCAGGAAAGATATTCCACAGTTAGAAACTCTAAATCAGTAGTGCCTGTATTTTTCAAATTATGAATAAAATCACCATTTTCGGAATGATTATAAAAAACAATATCTCCCCTTTCATATTCTATTTCTGCCACCTTCCCTCCAAAATAATGAGATACCGCATTTCCTTTTTTCAAAGAAGTCCAATTATAATCTTTATCGTGTTTATGAAATGGCATTTCCTCGCCAGGTCTTAAATAAATTTGCCATATACGAACTTTACTATCCTCAAATAACTTTGTCGTGCCCACGTTCATAGAATACTGTTCACGCTTACATTGCTCAAGAAAATTTTTATCCCAATTAGTATAATTCCCTTCTTCATTGATCACTGTTACTTTCATATCATATTTTGTTTTTTATTTTAAAAATAACTGATAATAAATAGATTCAAAATACTTAGAAGAGTAATACGACAAGGCCCAGGGGCATTAGCCGCCGTCAAAGCATGTAACGGTGCGTAAATACCTCTCCATTCACAGATTACTCAATCACAATGGTTTTATTTGATATTCCGATTCCTTTAAGCACTAATTTTTTCCATGATTTCGGCAAACATGGCGTTCCTTGTACAATACCAGCGTCGGTAATTTTCAATCCGCCAAAACCAAACAGCACGGCCTGTAACATTCCTCCCGCTCCTGTTGCAAAATAAGGATTGTTACTTTTTGGCGATTCAGACAATACACCAAAAGGAGGTCTAGAATTAGGAATATATGATTTTTTAAATAGTCTAAAAGCTTCCTCTTTTTCTCCCATTCCGGAATAGATCACGGATAGAATAGAATGACCCATAGCAGGTCCCCATTCCTCGTCCATCTTGGATTCATAATACTTTAACTCTTTCATAATTTGAACCTTGTTTGTGGTAATACCTAAGGGATATGCCAGCAAATTAACATCACCTTGCTTAATTTTTTCACCGTTATATGTTCGATGTTCTAACATGATACCCTCTTTATTAAAATGAAATTTCATTTTTTTTGCTACATCCAACCACTTGGGATTGATTATTTCCCCAAGTTCCTTTGCTGCCTTACTGGCACTTTCCAAACACACTTTTGCGGATCCATTCGTGAACGCATTATCGTCAACATTTTGTGCATACTCGTCAGCTCCAACAACGTTATTAATAGAATAAGTACCATCGCTATTTTTAGTTGTGCGACTCGCCCAAAAGTCAGCAACCTCCTTTAGAACTGGAAACCCTTTTTCACGTAACCATTGTTTATTTTTTGTAACTCTGTAATAATTCCAAAAGGCAACTCCAACATCCGCGGTAATATGATGTTCGAACGTCCCCGTAAGAGCCCAAGTTGGAGTAGCCTCTTCGCCAGAATCATCAGACTCCCATGGAAACATGGCGCCTAAAAAACCAAACGCTTGTGCTTTTTCTTTTGCTTTTTGCAAACGATCAAACCGATAATCCAAAAGACTTTCGGCGATACCATGATTTAAAACTAACAGCGGAGGAAACATCCACAATTCCGTATCCCAAAACACATGCCCATTATAGCCTTGAGAAGACAAACCCATCGGGGAAATACTCAAACGGGAATTCTCTCTTGAAAAGGAATACAAATTAAAAAGTGCAAACCGTACTGCTTGCTGTGACTCTAAATCGCCCTCTATCATTATGTCATTTTCCCAAAGCCGTTCCCATGCACTTAAATGCCCATCTATGAGCACTTTCTTACCTTGCTTTAAACAATAGATAGCAAATCGTTCTGCTTCGCTTTTAGGATCGGATACGTTTTTTGTGGTAGAAATCCCCCCTGCCAAAGCAAAAGAATAGTCTTCTCCGATTGCTAAACTTTTTTCGAACTGACACGCCTCACCCTCTTTACCAAATGAAACCTGACTTAATAAGGGAGATTTTGCTTCTTCAAATAAGAAAGCGGTTGCTGCAGAAATTTCATGTTTCCCCAACCGTGATTTTCCTGTTGACTGAAAAAGAGGTAATTTAATCTCACCGTCAAGTAAAACACGATATTCTGACTTTACATTTTTCAACTCCCCATCTTGAACTCCCATCATCGTTTGAACAACAAGCTTAACAGGTTGATTGGATTTTATATTTACTGTCGCAAGACCCATATAAGGTAAATGCCTAAGTGCAAAAAAAGTATGAACAACCCGCATCTTCTCGGAAACATCAAAGGAAGTCGTAAACATCCCTGTCCTCATGTTTAACTCCTGCCTCCAATTCTTAACATCTTTTTGGGTTACTAATTTTCCGTCCACGATGAATCGTAAATTGAGAAACTCAAATCCAGCAACCACTCTGCTTACTCCACCTTCAAATTCCTTATCATATACATTGGCTAAAATGACTTTCTGCGTTTTCATCAACTCTTCGGAAAGAACCAAACCAATTCCTCCATTGGAAAGAGTTGGAGCGTTGTAATTTTCTGTACTATGTGTTTGCAATTGCCAAGCAGGATCAAAATTATTATTAGATTTTTCAAGAAGAAAATTACGGGACTCAAAATGAATATCTTCTCCTGAATTAATAAAAAATCTCTTGGTATTTCCTTCTGCTTTTATTTGAAATAAGAAAAAACAGAAAAATTGAAACAGAAAAAATAATAAGGCATAAGAACCCCTCTTCTTTACCAAATAAACAACTTCTACAATTACGCTATAAAATTTATACATCTATTCTCCACTTTTATATTTGCACTATTTGAATAACCCTATTAAATCCCACACTAAAAAAATACATAGACGGTTTTTCATTACCAGGGCTAACTATTACTAAAGCACAATCCGTCTCTTTGATGCTTTGAAAACTCCACGTAAATAGTGAAATTTTGAATACAAACCTAATTTTTCAAATAAAAAGCACATAAAAAAGCGAAAGCATGGTTGTTTCTGAACAACTATGCTTTCACAATTCTTAAAACAAAAATCACAGACCGCTCTATGTGCAACGTACCCTATAAAACAAAAACCTCACTTTGTTAGTCAAATATTTCTTCAAGCCAATTCTTTTTCCTGTATTTATAATAATTGCGGTCATCATATCTTTTTTGCTGCTGATAAATTATTTGAGGCTCTTGTGAGGGAGGTTTTTGATTTACCTCTGACGCAAAAGACTTTTCAATTATTTTATCAAGTTCACCGCGGTCTAACCACACACCCCTGCACTCTGGGCAGTAGTCAATTTCAATACCTTGACGCTCTGACATCACAAGGTCCTTTTCTTTACACGAAGGACATTTCATACTTTTCTATGTTAATTATTAAAAAATATTAGTTCTAAATGATAAACTAAACTGCATCTATACGCTGTTCCTAAAAAACATGAACGGTTTTATTTGTAGAGACAAAACAAGGGGGTTACTTACAGAATTTCTAAACCCCCAACCACTCTGTCTAAAAAATCATAGGTTTAATGTAAATCAGGGACGTTGAGGTGCCAGGATTCGAACCTGGGAATGCCGGCTCCAAAGACCAGTGCCTTACCACTTGGCTACACCTCAATATATCGTGCAAATTTAATTCATACTTTTTAATTCAGCAACGTTTTCACAAAGATTATTTAAGATTTAGTACACATTTGTTTTGCCGATTTATACCTAATTGCAACTGCAACTTGATGTTGGATTACACCAAATAAAATGATTGCTAATTGTATTTTTGCATCTATGAAAAAGAATATCATATCCCCAACCATTCTAAAAGGAACACGTGATTATTCTCACGTTGAGACTGCTTTAAGAAGAGAAATTATTAAGAATTTAGAGTCGGTATTTATGCGATTTGGTTACAAAGCCATTGAAACACCCGTCTTAACCCCCGCTGACATTTTTGCTGGTCGTTATGGCGACAATGGCCGCCTTATGTATACTTTCACTGATAAAGGCAAGCGTAACGTGTCATTGCCTTACGACCTCACCGTTCCGTTTGCGCGTTATATTGCTTCTCAACAACATCGTCTTACATTTCCATTTAAGCGGTTTCAAACGGCAAAAGTATGGAGAGCAGAAAAACCTCAAAAAGGCAGGTTAAGAGAATTTGTTCAAACGGACATAGACATCATCGGTTCGGCAAGTCTGCTTTGTGAAGCCGAAATTATCAAGGTCATCTACGAAGCGCTACTTGCTTTAGGATTGATTGATATTCGTATCCGTTTTAATTCTCGTCGTTTGCAAAACCATATCTTTCAATTTCTTAGTATTGCTGAAGCGAATGTTAAATCCCTGCTCAAAATTTTTAATCAATTAAAAAACAAAAATGAATGTTTATCTGCCCTTTTAGAATCTGGTATCACAAATAACGAGCAGGTATATGAAGCCCTGAAACCCGAAGCTTCTTCGCAACTTAGTATTGAAAAATTAAAGTACACTTTCGCAAACGACAGCCTAACTCATGAAATTGAACACTTTCTTTCACTAACTTCGGAACTTGGTCTAAATACTCATCTCTTTCACTTTGAACCCACACTCTCGCGTGGACTTGACTACTATACGGGCATTGTATTTGAAATTGATTTTAATAATATCACCAGTATATGTTCAGGAGGTCGTTACGACGATTTGTGCGGCAAGTTTTGCACCGATAACTTTTCGGGTGTGGGCGCTTCATTTGGACTCGATCGACTAACGGAAGCATTATTAAGCAACCAATCCAATCTTATTTCAAAAAAGAGAACTCATTCAAGCGATGTGTTAGTAGCGTGGTTCAACAATCATGCGGACGAAGCCCATGCTCAACTTCGCATTTTTCGCTCACTTGTGGACGCAAATATTAAAACAGAACTGTATTTCGATAATCACCCATTGAATAAACAATTTCAATTCGCTCAAAAAAACAATTTTAATTTTGTTGTTATGTGTGGCAAACATGAATTAGATGAATCAAAGGTTAAAATAAAACGCATGGATAGCGGAAAACAGAAGGTACTATTTGAATCGCAGTTGGTTTCTTACATTAAGGGCTTTATTTAGGGGCTTTATTGCTCATTTTTAATACAAGACTCAATATGACCCATAGCGGAATCAGAATTGCCTTGCAAAGTAAAGGTCGGCTACGTGAGGAAAGTTTAGGCTTTCTGGCAAATTGCGGCATTCACCCTCAATCTACTCACGATCGTGCTCTCACCACAACTACAAATATGGACGGGGTTAATATCGTATTCTTACGACATGCAGACATTCCTGAATATGTACAGGCTGGCGTCGCAGATTTTGGCATTGTAGGGAAAAATTTACTTTTTGAAAAAGAGTACACCGTTCTAACTCGTTTAGCGTTACCCTTTGCTTTTTGTCGTCTTGTCATCGCTGTGTCAATAAACTCACATATTCAATCCGTAAAAGATTTGGACTCTGAACGTATTGCAACATCTTACCCGCAAAGTGTCAGAAAATTCCTCAAATCAGAATCAATACACGCATCCATTTCATTCATTCAAGGTTCGGTTGAAATTGCACCGTCACTTGGCTTAGCAGAAGCAATTTGTGATTTAACCCAAACAGGAAAAACTCTAAGAGAAAATAATCTAAAAGAACTTGTTACCGTGATACATTCACAAGCGATTATCATTGAATCCTATCATATCAAACCTAAAAAACATCTGATTTCTCAAAGACTAACATTAACGTAATTCATAACATGATGACAAGCAAATTGGCTGTACATTTTCTCCATCATTTGTCAATGCAAGACATAGAACAATTGGTCAAACGTAATAAATTAGAACAGCGTTCATTAAGAAAAAAAGTACAATCCATCCTTGATGATGTCCAACGTAAAGGAGATAAATCGGTGCTTCAATTTACAAGGCAGTTTGATAAAGTTACATTGGATTCACAGCTTGTTTTAGATGCTGAATTTACCCAAGCTGAAAATCTTGTATCAGAAAACATGAGGCGCGTAATTACGACAGCAGCCCAAAACATTCAAACATTTCATAAGTCGTCATTTTGGGAAAAAAGTCCCGTGGTCGAAACAACAGCAGGCATTTTATGCCACTCTGAAACTCGTCCCATTCAGAAAGTGGGGCTTTACGTACCCGGTGGCTCTGCACCACTTATCTCAACAGTGCTCATGCTAGCAATTCCTGCTAAGCTTGCGGGTTGTCAAGAAATAATTCTTTGCACGCCTACTGACAAAAAAGGCAACATCAATCCTCATATTTTGTTTGCAGCCAAACATTATGGCATTACTAAAGTATTTAAAATTGGCGGCGCTCAAGCCATTGCAGCCATGGCTTACGGAACGAGTACTGTCCCAAAAGTATTTAAGATTTTTGGACCTGGAAACCAATATGTTACAATGGCAAAGCAACTTGTTTCCTCCGCAGAAAATGGTCCAGCCATAGACATGCCCTCCGGCCCAACAGAGCAACTTATTATTGCGGACAGTACAGCCTATCCTAAATACGTAACCGCGGATATGCTCTCACAAGCAGAACACGGCACCGATTCGCAAGTTATCCTTGCTACAACATCTGTTCAATTTGCAGAAGCGGTTCAAAACGAACTTGTAGAGCAAGCATCTGTACTTCCACGCTACGACATTGTTGCTCAATCCTTAAAGAATAGTTTTATTGTTATTGGTCAAAGCATATCAAATTTAATTGCGTTTGCCAATCTTTACGCACCTGAACATCTACTTATTCAAACACAAAACCCAGAAGATATTGCTTCCAAAATTCAAAATGCGGGATCTGTTTTTCTCGGTCATCTTTCTGCTGAATCTATCGGAGACTACGCAAGCGGACCAAACCATGCCCTTCCCACTTACGGCTATGCTCGTGCTTATAGCGGGGTGTCTGTTGCAAGTTTCCAACGAATTATTACATTTCAAAAAATATCCAAAACAGGATTAACCACTATCGCAGATACGGTAACCTCACTCGCAAGAGCAGAAGGATTAGAAGCCCACGCACGAGCAGTTGAAATTCGTTTATCAGAGAAAAGCGTATAAAAACGTTTTACTATAACATCTATCCTACAGACAAGTCGCGACCTGTACCTACAAAAACACAAACCCCCACGACAAACATCATGGGGTATTATGATAAAAAGAAAGTAACCCTTTCAATACACTTTCACGTTATCTGCCTCTTCAATTAACCGCTCTCCCACTTGCTTCAAAAGAATCATTCCTGCTCGCTTTGCCTCTTCTTCTGCTTTCGGTTCAAACGATATTCCCGCTAACGCTATATACATCTCTAACTTCGCATCTCCAGGAACGACTGCCTAAAATTATTTATCTTTCTCTCTTGCATTTTACTCACATCCTCCTTTCTTACGCGATGCTTACACTCAACCAACACCCCTTTTGTCCCGTTCTTCATCACAATATCAAACTCATCATCCTCACCCGATTCATTGCGCCCTTTAAGGTTCCTTTCACAGTATTCAAACTGTATGTTTGCCACACTCATTCTGCTTTTCAGTGTATTGTAAAAGTATTCTTCTACGCCCGAGCCAACATTGAACCCAAAACGGTTCATCATTGATTCTGTTTTCCTAATCTGCACCCATAATGATTCAATTTTTTCGGACAACGCTTCGGACAACGCTTCTATCTTCTCCGACAACGCTTTGAACTTAGCAGACACCTCTTCGTCCCTCTTCTTCCTTTCCTCTTCATTCTTCTTTCTTTCCTCCTCCTCCTTCTTCAACCTTTCTTCTAACTCCTCATTCCTCTTCTTTCTTTCCTCCTCCTCCTTCTTCAACCTTTCTTCTAACTCCTCATTCCTCTTCTTTCTTTCCTCCTCCTCCTTCTTCAACCTTTCTTCTAACTCTTCATTCCTCTTCTTCCTTTCCTCTTCATTCTTCACCCTCGCCTCCTCCTCCTTCTTCAACCGCTCATTAAACTCTTCATGACTCTTTCTCAACCGCTCATTAAACTCCTCATTCCTCTTCTTCCTTTCCTCTTCATTCTTCACCCTCGCCTCCTCCTCCTTCTTCAACCGCTCATTAAACTCTTCATGACTCTTTCTCAACCGCTCATTAAACTCCTCATTCTCTTCTTCCTTTCCTCTTCATTCTTCACCCTCGCCTCCTCCTCCTTCTTCAACCTTTCTTCTAACTCTTCATTCCTCTTCTTCCTTTCCTCTTCATTCTTCACCCTCGCCTCCTCCTCCTTCTTCAACCTTTCTTCTAACTCTTCATTCCTCTTCTTCCTTTCCTCTTCATTCTTAACCCTCGCCTCCTCCTGCTTCTTCAACCGCTCTTCAAACTCCTCATTCCTCTTCACCCTCGCCTCCTCCTCCTTCTTCAACCTTTCTTCTAACTCTTCATTCCTCTTCTTCCTTTCCTCTTCATTCTTAACCCTCGCCTCCTCCTCCTTCTTCAACCTTTCTTCTAACTCTTCATTCCTCTTCTTCCTTTCCTCTTCATTCTTAACCCTCGCCTCCTCCTCCTTCTTCAACCTTTCTTCTAACTCTTCATTCCTCTTCTTCCTTTCCTCTTCATTCTTCTTTTTTTCCTTTTTCCTATCCTCCTCCGACTCCTTCAATAACAATGCA